AAGTTTCCTTGGGTAAAGGAAAAGGCAAGGTGAAGAGACAGAAGAAGAACCTTCAACATCAAAGAAACAAAACTTTTAACAGACAAGACCATGAGTCCTACTTGATATATGGACTTATCGGGACAGATGATTCCCACACCCAGCTCTGCATAGTTTGCGGCGATCAGCTTTCTAAAGAAGCAATGAAACTTTCAAAACTGCTTCGCCACTTGAACGCCAAAGAGTATTTTTTGAAAGAAAAAAAACCAACAAAACAAACAGAACACGAAGAACAGAAGAAATGTTTGAGGGCCACCACATCAATAAAGGAGAATGCACTGAGAGTATCACATTTGGTGGCTAACCGTATTGCTAAGGCTAAAAATACATTCACTATCGGTGAAGAATTGAACTTGCCCTCCACTAAAGACATTTGCCGTGAAGTTCTAGGAGAGGCTGCTGTGGAAAAGATAGCACATGTGCCTTTGTTGGCTAGCACTGTGACTAGGCGCATTGAGGAAATAGCCGAATACAATGAGATACAATTGTTGGAGAGGCTTAATGCATAACCGTGGTACGCAGACACTCCAGGTTGAGGAATCTACAGATATCGACAACAAGGCAACACTACTTGTTTATGTGCGATATTTATATCAGAAGGATGTGCATGAGGATTTATTATGTACACTATCTTTGCCAACCAACACCACAGGAGCAGAACTGTTCAAGTCACTGGATGGTTATATATCAGGACAACTAAAATGGTCCTTTTGTGTCGGCATATGCACAGACGGAGTTGCTGCCATGACCGGACGACGGTCTGTTTTAACTGCCCGGATTAAGGAAGTTGCACCTGAGAGTGAATCTATGCATTGTATCATTCATAGGAAAATGCTGGCAAGCCGAAAAATGACACCGGAATTTAACAGCGTATTGATTAATGGCGTTAAGGTTATTATCCACATCAAAGCACACGCCCTTAACTCGCGTCTGTTTCAGCAGTTTTGTGAGGAGATGGACGCAGAGAACAGATGCCATCCCTTATACACAGAAATAAGATGGTTAACCAAAGAAAAATCGCTAACCAGAGTGTTTGAATTATGAGAGACATTGCAAAGATTTCTCTCAGAAAAGAAGTCACCGATGGTAGCACATTTCAGCGACAAGATATGGATCGCAAAACTGGCTAATCTGTGTGACATATTCAGCCTGCTCAATGAACTCAATTTGTCCCTTTAAGGGAAAATGACAAATGTTTTCCAGTTGGCATACAAAGTAGCTGCATTAAAAGCCAAACTGGAGTTGTGAGGACGGCGCGTGAACAGATGCATTTTGGACATGTTTCAGACATTAGCAGGGATTTTAGACTGAGCCTGAGCATTCATTCGTCCAGTTGGTGCATGGTCACCTGACTTTGCTTTTCAAAAGAGTTCGAATGCTACTTCCCAACCACAAAAGACCCTAGAACTGACAAGGAATGGATCCGCGACCTGTTTGTCAACAAACCAGGCAAATCTAGTATGTCCGTGCAAGTAGAAGATAAACTGCTGCAGATTGCAAATGACGACGGCCTTAAAGCTACGTTCGAGACAACAACTATGCCGGTGTTCTGAATTGAAGTCATGGCGGAATGCCCTGAAATTGCAACCACAGCACTTAAAAACCCTATTGCCATTTCCGACATCCTACCTGCGGGGTTTTCTGCAGTGACATCAACCAAAACAAAACAACGGAATAAACTGCACATACGCAGCACACTTCGGGTGTCATTGTCTCCTATTACCGCCAGATAAAACCGTCTCGTTGCAAAGAAACAAGTTCAGGGTTCTCATTGATCTAGCGTTCTAGTGAGTCAAAATGTTAAATAAATTTAAATTCATTTTTGGTGTAACTGTATTTTATTTTGAAGGCATGTTTAAATGCAATTAAATTAAAATTATTTTAAAAAATCAATCTAAAATATAAACAATAAACGTCCTCCCACCTTAGTGGGCCGCGGTAAAATTATCAAACGTTGACCGGTCCGCGGCGATAAAAAGGTTGGGGATCACTGGTCTAAAGCGTTCACCGTTATAGATCACTGACATCTCATTTCTATCTGCGTGATTTCGAGTATCGAGTCCGGCCAATGTGGGTACATGAAAACGCTTGCTAGAAGCTTCTCGAGGGTTGGTGGTTCTTTCTGAGGTGTTTCCTGGTTTTTCTTCCACCAATTATACTGGCCGCCATGTATAGCCTATCTTATGCTGAAAAATGGCGTTAAACCCTTCAACAACAATTAAAATTTTCATATAAAATGTGGTAAACAACAGGTTAACCCGGAATTTCATTGAGAGTTTCCAATGTTTTGGATTCAAACTCCGATAAATATGTTGTTTACAAAACCAAAATCAACGATTCAGATCAGGTAGAAATTGAACATGGGCAAGGTCAAAAAATACCCTTTAAACATTGCGTTATTCACTTACTATTTCACTAGACCCTAACCTATGGCAAAATCGAAAATATTAACAGTTTAAATAAATTAGTTTGCATTTATTGATCACTTATTTAATTATTCCTATATTCGTTTTTCATGTGATCAGTATGAAATGACCACTTTTGACAAAAACACAAGCAAAAAGAGTTACATAACTGGGAGGTTACGTGTTTGAGTGTTACAATTCTATTTATATTTATATCGTGGTGTGCTGTTAGTAGTTCCAGCAGACATTCACCTGGAAATAATACAACTTAACACAAAGTAGTTTGTTGCCAAGGAGATAATACTACTACTACTACTACTTTTACTACAGATGTTACAATTAACAGCGTATACCGACTATAACAAAATGGCCACAACAATTATTATTAGTACCAACACTAACGTTCCTTAACATGAAATGCAACCCTTTATCTGATGGGTTGCTAAAAATAAGTGGACCGGGAATTTCTAAGGTCACTAGAACATGGACATTATTGGCATCTGACAGATCTGCTTATGATAAGTTGATCTTGATTTTGATCACATTGTTATTGTTGTTTCATAACTGATCTGGGTTCTTATCATTCATCAGAGCTACTTATGAAAAAAGTCAAGAAAATATTTCACGTCGCAAATCAATTTTATAGACCATGAAGGTTCATAGTTTTTAATGGAGAAAATTTTAGTGTATTGGAAAGGAAAGACCACAATTAAAGTAGTTTTCCACGTAAAAGTAAATAACCATCTATACAAAGAGTAAAGAAAGGAAATTAGTCGTGGCATTACGACACTAAATATCATATATGTCACTTTATGTTGGCACAAAAAACCGCAACAAATACTTAATAAGTGATTGATACTAAGATAAGATCAATAATATAGATGAATTCCTTTGTATAAACCCATGGTTTTATTTAATCTAATTCTAAGCAATTGAATATCAATTTAAATGCTAGCTGTAGTTAATAAAATCTGTACACAACATGCAAACCTCATGAACGTGAACATGTATTAAAATCTATACCTGTCAAATAATGTATGACACTTCAACATCGTACATCTGTGAAAATTAAAAAATATATACAATCGTTAGTAAACCAGTGCACTTTAGTTAAAAGTTTAAACTTTCTACAGCCTATTTCTGTCTGACATTTCCATCATTCGACAGAAGAAAAAAAAAAAACCTCTAAAATTGTCTACCTCGAGTGCATACACTTCTGTGTAAGAGCAAGACTGTACTTACAGAAATTCCCTTCTTTTTCGTCTTTCTCAGCCATGTTTGTGATGCTCAGATTTGGTCTTTGTAACCTTGGTAGCCGTAAGAAAAAATAGGTGTATGGTAGATAAAAGTTGGAACCAATCCAAACGGTTGTCTGGGTGAATCGAGTGATGTTAAATGGTTTTTACCTGAATCACCGATTTGCCTCTAGATGCTAACTCGTCCAAAGTAAAAAAAAATCTGACAGGATGTACACAAACAACTAGAACTATTGATACTTGTTATGCCTTATCAGTAAAGACCACACTTCTTGCAAATCCCGAAGTATAAAATCTCCGCTGGGAAATGCTTGCAGTGGAATTATAATCACAGTAAGGTATATTTTTGAAAGAGCACACTCTAATGAAACTGTATACCTTCACCGAAGTGTAAAGTCAGCCAAGCTTTCTTTTCTAAACTTTATTATTTCTTGCAGGCTCAACGAATAATACCGACATCCAGCGATGGTTGGATTTTATGTTGTGGTACAGGAGGACTGTTTACTTGATCGAGGAGTTAGATAGGCAGTACGAAGGTTATTGAGACGCTATCTATACATAGTGCAGTGATCGCAAAGAACCCTGAAATTCATCCTTTATCCCACATTAATAAATTTGCCGGCGCTTTCACTTCCATGAATACTGAAATGCAAAACTTATGGCCTATAGTTCCTTCAATAGAATTTAACATTACAATGAGTTCTAACGGTAAACAAGTTGAATGATTTTTAATAGATTTATAAACTGAATGTCTATCGGCATCATAACCGACGACAATCGCCCTCCACATCAAGGTAGCCAAAATACTCTATATCACCAAATACTTTAAAAGAAAAAACTTAGATCTTTTTATTTTTAAAAAATCTAACGAAAGGTAAGTAACTTTCTTTCGGTTCAGTACTGCGAATATTCCGTGTATACCTTGATTATATTATGCGATTGCTTACTACAACAAGCAAGGTATATTTAGAAATCCAATTAAATTGCCTATCATTTAGTATTAGAGCGATATTTAAAGGTTTATGCACGGGCATGTACGGGTGTCCAAGTTCACGGTAGACATGACTGCAATAAAGACAGCAAACCAGCTTTAACAATTTTTCAGTCATATCGCTACCATGTCTGCAGTGTGACAGTTTATAGTGATGTTTATCACTGGGACATCATGCAGCAGACATGTAGCATGATGTGCCACTCAATCACATTATTCTGACAAAGCTGACCAGTCCTAACACAAACCTCTTAATGCTGAGCACCAAGCGATGCAGCTCTTCGTACTATTTTTTAAAAGCCTTTGGTATGACTCGGCCCGGGTTTGAACCCGCGAACTCCAGCACTCGAGGTGGACGCTCTACCACTAGGCAACCGGAGCAGTCCAAATCACGATATATCCAAACATGCAATTTATTTACCCACAAAGTCTTTGAAAATACGAGGATGTTTAGGAAGAAAGAAAGAAGAAAGAAATATATCAGGATGAATTTCAGCGGAAGGTAGGATAAAGTTGAGCATTTTTTTCACTACTGCTTAAACGACGCTTAAAAATGATTTTGCAATTAAATAAAAGTGAAAAATCTTACATGTCTTGGGTAGCTTATTTTGCGACTGTATCATAGAAACTGAGGCGTTGGTTTAAAATAACTTACAGAACTTTTCAAGGAAATGATGTTTATGCGTTTTTACTAGTATGACATATAATCAAGACAGACTGGTTTGATTGTAATGTAAAAAATAAATATGTATGTATGTATGTATGTATGTATGTATGTATGTATGTATGTATGTATGTATGTATGTATGTATGTATGTATGTATGTATGTATGTATGTATGTATGTATGTATGTATGTATGTATGTATGTATGTATGTATGTATGTATGTATGTATGTATGTATGTATGTATGCATGCATGCATGCATGTATGTATGTATGTATGTTGGGTTTAACGCCATTTTGCAGCACAAGATAGGCTATACATAGCAGCCAGTATTAATGGTGGAGGAAGAACCCTGGAAAACCCCGGGAAGAACCACCGACCCACCAGGCTTTCTCACTTACCCACGTTAGCCGAGTCTGGACTCGAACTCACACAGAGGTGAGATGGCAATGATCCGTAACGGTCAGCGCTTTAGACCAATCGGACGTTCGGGATGTATGTATGTATGTATGTATGTATGTATGTATGTATGTATGTATGTATGTATGTATGTATGTATGTATGTATGTATGTATGTATGTATGTATGTATGTATGTATGTGGGGGTGGGAGTGGGTGGGGGTGCATGCGTTGTGTAGCCATTCATGCATAAAAAGCGTTTTAAAGGAACGTCAGCACCGTTTTGGTAATGATTAGATATTCTATAAACGAAAATATAAAGAATTTCCCAAATAATTAAAGTAGATAACACTTCCAAATGAATGTCAGCATAACGCACTACAAAATAAAATACAAAAGGTAAATATTCAAATATTCTTTACAAGTTATATAAAATCTAAGACAGAGATAAAGAGTATAAAATAATTAAAGATAGGATCATAACTACATAAGGTAATATAGTACACCTGTTTCCGAGGCTCAAAGTGACGTCATGTGTGTGCTTACAGGTTAAAATACGCCTCTGTCCTCTCAGTTATAGCATATTTCCTACGAAGGCTGCTCCTACAAGCATAAACGATACTGAAACCAAATCTGGGTCTAGGATCAGAAAGAGTTCCAAACTGAAAACCAATCTGGGTCCACGATCAGAGAGAGGAGAGAACCAATCTGAGTCCACAATCAGAAAGAGTCCGAAACAGAATATAGAAATATCATAAAAATCACTTAAAACCTTCAATCTTATACAAAGATCATTCAATCAAACATAACACACACAAAACAACAACAAAAAATTCTACATGTTCTTACGTATATGTGATTAAATTGCTTGTGTAAAAGTTTTAAAATTCTGTTTATTTCATTTTTGTTTCATTGTATTTTATTGCATTTAATATTTTGTCGGATTAGAGATTCTTTTTTCAGTAATTGAGATATTTTCTTTTAAAAAAGTTTGTTTATTTAAGACGAAGAAGTATTAAGAATTAATTTTTTTAAGTTTGTCTTGGGCTGTTAAGTGTCAACTGGAAGTTAAAATAATTGGTCAGCAACGGGGCATACTTTCTTTGCGTGATCACTATGTGTAAACAACAATTTATGATTGGTTTTTTAAGTGGGGTGACACTGGCGGACGTGCTAAAGTTAGGGTAGTAAGAGACCACATGAGCAATTTCGCGAGATTTGAAATGATATTTGGGGGTTCTAAATAAGCATTCTTAATATTTTTAGACAGTCATTGTAACACCTTGAAGGAACAATGTGTATTTTTTGTAGCCAGGATTGTTTATTCTTCATCTGATTTTGGGATTTAAAAATTTATTACCCTGGAAACTTAACAAGTTTACTTTTTATATAAAAAAATATTCTGAATGATATTCAGAGAAATTTGTTCTGGAATTATTTGGAAACAAAGACTGATTTAAATGAGGAATTGTTGATATTCATACATTGGACCACATTTGACGTCATCGCCTTTCCATATTTGTGCTTCGTCGGGACTCGAACCTCGATTTTAATAGGACTATCAAGTGATAGGACTTGTGTTTTCATTCATAGATCAAATTTTGGATCATATTCACAAACTGTAAGTCCAATTTACCAATTTTTACTTTGTTGTCTAGGGAAATAAATTGTTTTGTTAAAATATAAAAAGCTTGTTGTTTTTCACTCTTTTCTTTGTTACTGAGTACGAGCCCTTGTCACGTAACAATGGACTGGTAAAGACTCGTTCGTAATAAGATAAACTCCCCATTAAAAAAATTATATCAGAGCTTTTTTGCAGTGACCATAACTCCGTATATTGTATTACAAATCTGAAGTGATTTCAACAGCACAGTTACAAGCGAAAAGTGTGAGTCTACAATACAGCACATTATTAATAATATACAGATTTATCTCAGGTAGTTGATTGCAACTTGAATGATCCTTCCATAAATAAAACAATGATAACATTTCCAAGATATTCTCCCCTTCGGTATGATATTACAAAAAGTAATTCAGCAACGAAACCATTAAAGATAGCCAAATGACATCACTAATTATTCTCACTCCAGATACTGAAGAAAAAAGGCGCGAAGTACTAAACTGAATACATTTTAATAATACCTTTAAAATAGTAACATTATCTAAAACTTATATGAAATGAAGCAAATATATTTCTTAAAAACAATAAAACCCCACAATATCCTACCTTATTATTATTATTATTATTATTATTATTATTATTATTATTATTATTATTATTATTATTATTATTATTATTATTATTATTATTGTTGTTGTTGTTGTTGTTGTTGTTGTTGCTGTTGTTGTTGTTGAATTGACAAGGCAAACCTTAACTGAAATGATGTGTACGATACTGTCTTGATTCTAGATGCAGATACGATAGTGAGCCCTAATGAAAGTCATCCCAGGAATCTTAAAGAAGACGCATCAGTCTTAATTAAAACATTTATCAACAGTTTTCAACAGTTACCTCCAACTCTTATACTTTCATTATTTCCTGAAACAAGTTCATTCCAGGTGATAAAAAGGGATATATGATGATTCAAGCTACACACCTATATCAATAGTAAGCTCACTCTGCGCTATTGTCGCTTAATAAGCGACTTAGTATCCAATTTTGGATATTATCAATATGACGACCAACACGGATGTCTAGCACTGGGACATCATGCCGTAGATATGCAGCATCATGTCCTACGAAGTAACAATATCCTGACACCAGGCCGATCAGTCCTAATACTAACCTCTTCATGTTGAGCACCTAGCGAGGCAGCTGTTGATACCATTTGTATAAGTCTTTGGTATAACTCAATCGGGGTTCGAACCTGCTACATCCCTCATCCGAGGGTGACGCTTTAGCCACTTAGGAAATCGGTGTGGTCCAACACTGAGGTCACTGTTAAGAGCAACAATTTAGTTCCATACACGTGGTCCCATCACTTAATGAAGTCAGTCTAGTACATTTCTTGAAAGTCATTTCGACTAAGCACAGTTCTTTTTTTTTTTTAAAAAAAGAGTGTCTTAATACGTGTTTTTGCAAAGCGTAAAATTTCCGATGTATATTTAAGCACTTCCGTTGTCAAATCTTCATTTTCGGAGATGCGTTGTTCTGCATATCGTAAAGTTTTTCAGTTTTGAATATAAAAATAAATTTTGATTGTGGTTCGTAATCCTATTATCGGTTAAAATTTTTTACAAAACAACAACAAAACACTCCACCCCACCTCCGAAAAAAGGAATTCATGAATGTTAATAAGCTGTGTCAGTAAAATTATATGAAATATGTTTCGAAACAAATTAAAGACCTACTTAGCCATTTACAATTCGTGGGTCTTATAATTATGTGGAATTTAGTTTGCAAGGCTTTTGGTCAAAAGAAAGAAACAGAGTGGCATTGTGTGACTTTTGGCAAAGTATGACGCAGCGGAAAAAGACTTCGCAGCCGTAAATCAACAGGTAACAACTCAGCAAAATAAAAAGAAGAGAACGTAAGTAATAATTATGTATATGCTATCCTGAATGGTGACATTCTTGAATCTCGTTTGATTTAAAATGTATATTGATCCCATGGCAATAAGTCATGTGGTTTTGTGATGTTTATTGCTGCATGATCTGGTGTAATTTGCTTTTTACAAGACAAATTGTATTATTAACCATTTTTTTAAAAAAAAACGTTTCCTGTAACCCTTTTCCTTTTTATTCATTGGTTTTCATATGCAAACCTTCAATTAAATTAACAAAAAAAAAACAAACAAACAAACTCCAAACAAGCTAATTATTGCAAAAATTAGAAAAATGGTATTTTTAGCCAATAAAGAGACAACTTTTCCAGTTAAATTAAAAGCCAGAAAACACTGTCCTGATATCAGGCATAGATTTGCTGCTTTTTTATAGCAAACTATAACATATATATGTCAGCAGTTTTTATGTCTCTTTTTTATAGCAAATGAAACACATACATGTCATCAGTTTTCATACCTCTTTAAAACTGATCATAGAATAAATCTTTGGAAATACTTTCAACGCTTCCATTAACACCGTCACTTTGGTTGGACTAAGTGTTCCTTTCATCACACCAACAGCTGTGAAAACTGTAGCAATTGTCAAACCTTTTTCCAAACAGTTCTTGAACCTTTTGCCAATGATAAAACCTATATAATGTTAAATCGATATTTTTTTTTCAAGTTATTTTATCGACTTGTGAAATTAAAACTATATGTGCCATTTGATTTTCATAAGATTATTGTCTAATTTAGTATACTGCTATCTGAGCGGATT